GCCTTTCTGTGGCGGGTTGATCCTCTCATTCACCTGGCAGGCATGTGATGGGTCTGCTTCTTGAGCCATGTCTTGACGGCGGCCTCCCGCACCTCGATGACCTCCTCGCAGAGAGAGCTGCGCCACGTGCGGGTGATCCTTGTTGGACAAGTACTGCTCCATGGCGTGCTGCAGCCACGAAGACAACACAGTATGTAAATGAAGTAGAGATGGTACACACATAGCTTACCATTCGGTGCGGCACCTTGAGGCCGATAGATGGCCGCCGAAGCGGCCAAGTATGCGTAGTGAAACAGAGGAAACACAGAGGAGACATGAGACAAGTCTGTGCTTTATTCTCTTTTTTCTCCCTTATGTACTTACGCACCTGAGTGGCCTTCAGGGCAATGCTTGCGCAACGTCGAGGGGGATGAAGGAATCCGCGAATATAAAATGCAGGCGGCGATGGATCGCCGGCACACCTGAAGTCACTCACATCGAGACACAATGACAAAGGAAAGATATTGCTGTGTCGCGACCTCGTGTGTGGCCTTCCTTCCTGACCTCCTCGGCCTCGGTCGCAGGGGGGGCTGGCAGGCATAAGCACGGGATGGGCTTAGACGACGCGGCAGGGCGGGAGGGGGAGCGCCTGTTAGGGGGAGGAGGAGGGGGGCGGCCACGGTCACGTCCCCGTAGGGGTCAAGGAGGGACCGGTCGTTCTCGTGCAAACAGACGGAGAAGAGACATCAGCGAATGTTCATGAGCCTCTTCCTTTATCCTTCACTCACTGACCTTTGGGGCCGCCAGGATGTCACTATGCGATCCATGCACACCAGCCGGCGTCAATGGGGTAGGAGAGGCCCACAGATATAAAACGTAGACAGCGATCCATCTGCACACACAGACACGGGGCGTGTTGATCAGTCGGCTTTGAGCGCTCACACACATACCCCTTGCAGATGGCTGGGACAAGGCATCGCGATCCAAAGTTGTCATCAGTCGTCAAATATAAAATGTAGACAACGATATCTGAAGGCAAGTAGATCACATGGCCCGTCGACGGCCTCGATGGCCGCCAGGAGCTCCCTCCTGGTTGTGCGGGGGCTCGGGTAGGCGGCGCTTGCGACTGAGAGCCAGTGGTCGCTCGTCTTCGTCGTCCCCCATGGCCATAGGCTGCTGCTGGACGACGGGAAGACGGAAAGAAAGGACAACGGACAGAGGAGTGAGTGCCTTTCTCGATCGACCTGTGAGGTGCCTGCCCTGCCTACCCACCAACGTCGCCGGCGTCG